GGGACCCGGGACCCAGCCTCAAGAGCCAGGCTGCCCTGGGCGGGGGATTCAAAGGGAGGCGGCAGCCAGGGGGCCGACCGGGAATTAAAACTTCGGGGGGTTCAGGGTGGAGAGGGACCTAGTGACCCTCTGTGTTTTCAGACCTCTCTGTCTCTCAGCGGAGAAGAATTTCCATAAGGTTTGTTGTTTTTCTTGCATTGCTCTGTTATCTTTAAACTACTGTCCTAGAGGTATTTAAAATATTTGAAACAATATTTATGAATGAAGTAATGTCTCTTCAAGCGCTGGGCTTTATTAAAAGGAAAATAAACTGTCCGTGCTGATTTTAAACAGGAACCTGCGTATGAAGCTTACCCGTAAAAATACACTTTTTTCCAAAAGAAAATAGTGCAGGGTTATTTTCTGCTTCATTAGGCATGCAAATGGGTGTAGTGAGAACGTGCAGTTCAAACAGATCGTTGCAGCAGTAAATCAGCTCTAGAAGCACTGTATTACTGGGTTTCTTATCATTTGGTTTCACTTGATGCACTTTGTTCCTGGTGATTTCTTCCCTTAGTTGAGAGAGAATAAACCCGGCACCTTTGATGTGCCCAAGGGAAACCTGCATCTTTCTGAAGAGCAAACATGGAGAAAAATGAATGAGTTCTTGCTTGCGTTGGTACTGGGCCATCTCCTTTTAAACCATATGCTGTGTATTTTTGTAAAGTCTGTGCCAGGTTCAATCACCTTCATTCAGTGTTGCAGGATCCTTCTAGAGTTTAACTCACTGCTTTTTGTATAGTGCTGTATTAATGAGCTGGAATGCACTAGGAACGTATTTTACAGACATAGCTTTCAATTTTCATGTGATTAGGGAGCAAATGGTTTCCCATTACGCTGAAAATGGGAATATTTCTCTCTTGCACAATAGTTTACCACAGAGGCTAATTACTAATTACCAGATTTGTTGGCATCGGTTTAATATTTTTGGAGAGCAGCGCTTCATCATTATTGCTTATCACTGCAATTAAAGAAGCTTTCACAACAGGGAAGGGGTATGCAATACATATTTCCCCACTGAAGACTGTTTTGGACCAGACAAGTGCACTACCGCTAAAATCTTTTTCCCAGTGAACTCGGTGGAAGGCTTGGCTGCTGTTGCAGAAGGGCTGGATCTGAGCGCTAGCATTTTAAAACACTGCATGCTTCTTCTGCGTTTGAGTCAGTATTCTATAGCTACCAGAATACATTATTTTTTCAAATACCCCAGTGTAACAAGCACACGCTTCGTTTTTAAATACCGCTTACAAGGAGAGCAAAAGTTCACGTGGCTCCATTGCAAGAGAATCAAGCAGAGAAGTGGAACAAGGGCGGGAGCTGAATAAATTAGTAGATGTAGCAGAGGAGAGAAATTTATTTCAGAAAATAATTATTTAACTCGTGGCAAATATTAACCAGAGTATGCATGACCAAAAATTGAAGAGGTCAGCCACAAGTTTACCATTTCATTTTGCTGTTTTCATGCAATTTGTCAGTTTAGAAACCATTAGAGAAACAAGACACATAAATATTTTACTATTTCAACATGAAACAGTGATGCCTTAAGACATGGAACTCAAACAATATTATAAAAACAGAATATTCAGCCTTTCACCCTGTTCTTGCTTGTGTGCTCCTTTTCTGAGCTGCGCAGGCAGGACTGGATCTTCATAGAGAGTAACCGGTCTTTACTACCCGCATTTACATTTTCTGGGCACAGTCCTGCAGTCTTTACTGTCATCAGTAATCCTTACTAAGGGTTTATCAGAGTGACTAATCGATCATTGAAATTACCATGTTTTCTTCAGTAAACAGGATTGTGCCTATTTACTATATTTAGTATTAGCTTGGATTAGCAAATCAAATGTTTTCTAGTTGTCACTGGTAAGATGGTATTTCTGAAATGTATTTCCTTGGGGCTGTAATTGCATTTAGGGAAGGGCTAGTTCAGTGAGGGCTTGTACAGTAGATATATTTTCTATTTTGTAGCATGTACTGATTTAAACTGAGGCTCAGAATAAAAACACTCCAGTGATTATTTTCTCCCTCATTTTAGTGCATGGTATTGCCAGTCCTCCTGCATGTGAGTAGCCCTGTTTAAACTCAGTGGGTGGACTCGAGAATTAAGAATGATCTTGTAAGGGAAGAGTTTGCAGGATCAGGCATGCACACAGAAAATGTCTGATATTCCTGAGTAACAAGGCAGAATCTGTGGAACATGAAGGAAGAACAGTCATTTTCTCTCCTGCAATGCAAAGCATATATTTTTAATTGGAAAAGTAAGTTTTGTAAGTCAGAGTGGGCAGGTTTTTCTTCTATTCTGACAGATTTGGTCTCTATATTGTAGCGCAGAGATGACTGATAACCCCCTTCATAAAATTAGAAACCACACCCCCAGACCATCTGGCATATTACTTAAAGAAAAACACTACCCAACATGGAGCTTATCATTGTATTCAAAAAAGAAAATCCAGGCCGATTTGTCAGAGCCCAGTGCTGCGTGTCCGATTCAAAGTGATATCCCTGTAAAGGCAACATGGAAATTCTCTGTTTATATCAGAAAACAGGGTCTTAAATTAATTTGCTGTGATTGGGATCCATAGTCAGCAACGGAGTTTCATTGGCGTGACGGAGAGCAGAGTCTGACCCTATTTAAAAGAGAAAGCGTGCATGATCCCAGGAAGTAGGCAGCTGTAGCGTGCAGAGTACAGTTTTACTACTAACAGACTAAATCACCGAAACGGGGGCATTTCCTATATTCTGCCTGTGAAGTTCTCTTTGGCTTAGCAGCGTGGTTTTTCTCCTCGCGCTTCACCTCTCCCATCTGTCCTGTGGGAGGTAGAGTTCATTTCATCACCTATTATGTTTGCCTCCCGCTGGGAACAGATTTTCCCCCAGTCATCTCCCTGCGTGGGGAAACGGCAGGGCTGAGCGTGCTTCTTTGCATGGTTTAAGGGCATCAACCACAGGGTCACCTTAGGCCATGTGAATTTAACGGCCTGTGATTAAGAACTAGCAGAGCAGCTTTTGTTAAGTGGAGAAACATTCTAAATTAACAGTATACTTTCATGGAAAAGTGTTAGGATTGCTGCAGAGCTCAATCGATTGGAAAATCTTCTGTTGACTTTGTGGCTTTTGGTGTGGCGCCCAAATTAAGGATGTTACAATGCAATGTGTTAGCTTTCCTTGCACCTCTTAAACATTATGAGAGGCGGGCATCTGCCCTGTGTGTCCTGTGTTTTCCCTGAGACAGATAGAGGCAATACTCCTCCTCCTCCCTTACAGTTGGTTGATCGCATCTAGGTAAAGGGAAAAAAACCTAAACAAAACAGGATCTTGCAGGCTGCTACTTACATTTCCTTTAATAGATCAAAGTTGAAAACTTAATGACATCTATCTCTGCAGTTGGATGTCAGAAGGGCATACTTTGCATCAGCCAGAAAGAAGATCAAACAAACAGGTTGACGTTGCCTTGGGCTTTCTGGCTCTAGGACCGATTTGTAAGACAGACCATTTCAGTTTATTGTACCTTACATTGGATTCCTGAAAAAAGAGATAATGAGAATTTCCTAAGCTGCTGCTGTTGGTACGAGAAGTCTTGGACCTATACTTTTTGGATGCACATCAAAGTGACATCTAGAAGGGTTTGTGTTAAGACTGCGTATATTGGAGATTGTACCTCACATAAATTGTTTGGGAAGGAGATAGCAATGTGAAAGTATAAATTGCTAAATATAAAATAACAGTAGTCTTAGGATACTTTCCACATGCTTATTTAGGGAGAAGAGTAATCACATATTGGCAGAATGTCGCAGGAACTCTGTGATTTATACTCCATGACCCAGTGGAAAAATGCCAGTTCGACAAAAAAGAACAATTTCAGCTACACTAATGGATTGACCAAGGCTAATTGCGAGAGTTTTTCTACCCATCATTGATATGTTGTCAGTACATAAAAGATTACAGAGAAATTCCTTGATCGGCTGCCACGAAAACATTTTTTTATTATTAAAACGTTAAAAGAGAGCTGCATTAATCTGGCTCCATGCAGCATCCTCCATCTTCACTTAGTGACAAGCAGTGTTCAATTTCTAAACTAAGAACCACCCATTTCTAAGCTTTCTGCTCTAAGCCTCATTTTGTGAGGCGCTAAGCACCCATAAACTCCCATTTCCTTTGCTAAGAGCTGAAACACCTTATCCTGCAACTTCATGCTCCTAAGTCAGTACATTGGGGGGGGAAATTGATGCAAATCCTGATGTGATTCGTTTGGGAATCCTTTTGCTGGATTGTAAACTAAGAACCACCCATTTCTAAGCTTTCTGCTCTAAGCCTCATTTTGTGAGGCGCTAAGCACCCATAAACTCCCATTTCCTTTGCTAAGAGCTGAAACACCTTATCCTGCAACTTCATGCTCCTAAGTCAGTACATTGGGGGGGGAAATTGATGCAAATCCTGATGTGATTCGTTTGGGAATCCTTTTGCCGGATTGTAAATTAGGTGTCAGGCTTCTTTAAAGTCAAACTAGAAAGTGCTATTTGTAATGACCGTAGCATCGTTGTTTCAGTGAAATAAAAGAAAGTCGTCTGGCCACACATCCAGAGTCAAGTGTGGGTTTCAAAGCTGACTTTCTGATTTTTCAGTCCTGCTTGGGCGGGACTCCTGTTGACTTACGGATTGCTTGAAGTGCCGTGATTTTCCCATTGACTTCACCGGGCAGTGGAATTCCTTCCAAATGCCTGTGGGGATCAGGGGGACACCAAGTGCCTTTAGCATTATAGTGTCTTCTGGCACCAGCCATACGCTCCATAATTCTGTTTATTAAAAAAAAAGCACATTGATGCTGTGTCGAAAGAAATAATATAATTTGTGTTGCATAATGCATTGAGGTTTGACTGGAACTGGTTTTGCAGTCTGCTGTGCTAGCTGCGTAGATCTCTTTTTTTAACCCCCCCCAGCAAGACATGAACTTCTGAAATGATATACATGCCTAAGATATGTAGCGAGACAGTGAGATACAGTATGAGCCAGAGGCCTTCTTCACCTTAGAAATCATCTTATAAGCAACACATGCTCCTCGACATGTCATTTTGCTTTATAAACATGATGATAGAATATGGCTAATTGCAGCTGAGTTGAGCAGTTATATATAAGCACATGGCTTAACATATTGGTTAGCTGATCATACTATTCCTTTAGTCTTACCAGTTGCTTTAAACAAGACGGCAAGAAATCAGTCATGTTAGAAGGGAGCTATGCCAGCGTGTTGAATGTGGGATTAGGACCTGTGGCTCAGGCCTGCCGTACAGCTGGCATCATCGATGGTTTCTCTTTTCAGCAAGATGTCTGTGCCCACCAAGCAGTTCGGATTAAAGGCATTAGTTTTGTGTTTAATCTTTTTTAAACACTGTTTGCATGCAGACAGAGATGCTTCTTGCTCTGAGCCTAGCTTGGATCTTACACTGAGCAGAATTCATGCTGCTTTCTTTTGAGTATCACTTCGTTGCCTCAAATTGAGGGAGAGGTTGCGACAACTGGAAGCTGCCAAAAAAGAGGTCAGCATGAAGCTGTTGGGTGGCTGAGCGTTAGGAAGCAGAAGAGGGCTGGAGGAACATCAGAACGGGTCCTCATTTTGCATAACACCATTTGGGATCAGGTGGATGGCCTGGTGCCATTGGATTGGGATGCAGGAGACCTGGCTCCGCTCCCCAGCTCAGTCGCAAACTTCCTTGGGGTCTCAGGCAAGCCATTTCATTTACCCACTGATGAGTTTTCTGGAGTGTGGGGTACAATAAAAGCAGAAATAAAATCTATTAGTCATTGCTGTGTTACATTACAGGACGGGGACTGCAAATAAGGCCCACTATCAGCTAATCAGGTTCCCAAATTTCCCATCGAAATCAATGGGAAACAAGCACTCTACATAGGAAGTAGGAGCCAACTTATTTGGGTAAATTGAGAGCCTGGATTTCACACTGACTTACTTCAGACAAGGATCTGTGCAGCTGATTAGGAAGATAGACAGGACCAGTGGGTGATCCTGGCACTGCCTCTCGGACCTCCCATTTCATCTTCTCTTAGCTACCTATGATAGTATTTTCCAAGGAGTGAAGATAGACCTGGGGGCACAGAGCTCTTTCTAAGGTGCTGAAGATACCGCTGTCTTCACGTCTTACCAGGCTCTGCAGCTGATTTCACCAGCTGCAGGCTTTTTAGGGCAGGATTTCTTGGAGGAAGGAGAAAAGGAGTTGGTTGGTTTGTAGAGCAGACCCTTATGATGTGCATTACTAATAAAGCTGAGAATAAAACAAGTTCCAGAGTCACAGTCAACTGTGGATGCAAAACGAACTGGAAGCAAGGAGCATGACAGTGCAGAAGACAGAGGAGTGTAGGACGTTGGTAGCATGTAGAGAAGGTAATTGAGTACTGTGTAATAACCATTTACATTTTTTAGTGTACATCATAGTTTTCTTTGGAGCCAGCAGTGAAACCTTGAAACTCTCCAGCGATGTTACAGAGGGCACTCCAAGCAGCAGAGTGCTAAAAATCTTAGTTTTGGTGTACTGGAATCTGTATGCAGTTCTCAGTTTGCTTACATCTTCCTGATCCCCTGTTTGCAGATTGTGCTTGTCGTTTTCAGAACCCCACTGCATGGGACATGACCTGGACTGCTTCACTTAACAAAACCAAATAGTTGGAGCAGTTATTTTGTTGTTTTTTATGATAAATGAAATGCCAAGTTTTCCATCTTTGCTTTTTCTCATGGCCCTTTAACCCATGTGGTAGGCTTATTTAGGGAACAAGACAAGCCTGGATGGAGTCCCAGAGTTTGCAGTAGCTTCAGATGCCCCTCCAAAGGTTAGGATACTTCACAGGGGATTTGTTCTGCAACAGAGAGGCTAAAAGGAAACCCATGCTAGTTACTTTTTGCTTTTGATTCTGTCCTAGTACTGCCCTGAAAACCAAGCAAGAGAAAATTTACAGAGGCAGCATTGTTGTTGTTGGGTGTGTAATACCATATTTTCTACTGTAGCTTCATGCCAGAACTTCAAAAACCTTCTTGCAAGAAACATTTCACGTGAAATATTATTGTTCTTATTTCTACACCTTTCCAGTAAGAAAAGCTTTATTATGCCTTTCACATAAAAATGCAGCTGTTTTACTTTAGATATGGTTTTGTGTCACAGAGTGTGCACTGCTTCTGGGGCCTTTCAGTAAAATGGATATTAGAATTAAATTGTGCATGCTTATACATGACATCTAACGTCTATGTCTTCCCTGCCTTACGCCCTTGCAATTGCATTGACAGGAGTTACATTAGACTAATTGCAGCAGGATTTGGCCTTGTGCACATGTACAGCACAGATTTATATGTATGGAACAGCACTGTAGCGACAATGATGGAATAACGTAGCTGAGGTTTAATATTTTGTTTCCTGTTTTAGGATATGATGATGTTTCAGAAACAAACTTGAGATCTTATAGTGTTCATTCTGCTAAACATGTGCAAGAGAATCGTCCTGTGCCCATTCGCAGAAAAAGAAGCATTGGTAAGAAACAAGCTATTTGTACTTGGGGAGTAAAAACAGAGGGGGTGCTTTTGGTCAGCCAAGCAGGACATTTCGCTGGAAAAATGTGACACGCACAAAGGAGAAAGGCCATTTCTAGTTTCTGCCTTTCTTTTTGCACAAAACGAGCCGTTGCCTGAGAAGCTGTCTTCTGGAGGATGTCCATAGGAGACAGACAAGCGCGAATTCTTTACATTCACTTTCTTGTTGCAGCATGTTAGAAAGCTAGACCTTGGTTAGGAAATGCTGTGATATTCAATGTATAATTCATAGTGTGGGGAACAACTACAGCAGTGTGCTTTAAAAAACATCAACAGTTGGTAGAGTTTTCAGTACAGAAGCTCCACAAAAGGAAACAGCTTGACTCTTTATTCAAAGGAAAAAAACAGTTTATCCAAAAAATTAAAAGCCATTGACTGAAACGCTGGGGCATTGATTTCCGTCATTGCGTAGGGCACCAGGCATGTTTGCAGGGGATTTTTTTCTTATTAAACAATAATGATGGCGATCCAACAAAGCCCAAATACAAATTTAAAGAGATGTTAAAGAATTTTAGAATAGGATTTGTATGCAATGCTTGTTCATCTGATTAGATCTGAGTCTTTCACTATTCCATTTGACTGTGGAAAAGATCCATGATCTTACCTATTATAGGTAATTCAGAGTCAATATATTTGTACTTTAAGCTACAGTGCTACCCAGTAGATAGCACAGCATGCTGTCAGCATGGATTTGCAGTGTGAATTGGCAAGCGCGCTCGTCACATTGAATGCCTCTAGAGAACAGCGGTTCTGAAACAGTCTGCTACGCTTGGCACCTTACTCTGCAAGGTGTTGAATGCCTCCCCATAAAACTCAGTGGGAACCGGGTATGCTCAATAACTTGTAGGAGTTGCCAGCTATCTTACAGTACTGGATCCGTTAATTTTCTTGAGTTCATGGCACTGGGGACAGAGAAGAAGAATTTTCACTCTATTTAGCTGGCTGAAATGCACCTCTTTCAAAACTAAGCCTAGATTTTCATGTTACGGGCACAGGCCAGGCCTGAACTTCTTGTACTTCAGAAGTAACTGAAGAAGTGCAGGCAGTATTCCAGTTCCCTGACACATCTAACCCAAAGCTATCACTGCTTCCACTGTAAGGCAAAAAAATCTAAGCTGCCTTCTGAGAACTTACTATCAAACAAGTTGTCCCTGTAATTGCTATTATTTTCTGGACCATTTTGAATTGTCAGCTTGACTTCTTAGGGAGTCCCTGGGTTGAGAACGATACATGGTTTGGATTTGTCATGGCAGCATCATGCCGCAGCATGGAGCTACTCTTTCTGATCCTCATGTGGCTGAAAAGGTTGTCTGCAAGCTCATCTTACCTGAGCCCAGCAGGATATTGGTTTAGCTGAAAATTACACTGCAGGTTCTTCGGTCATGCTACTCTTGTGGTTTTGCCTCATTCAAAAAATAACTAATTAAATAAAACCCAGCATGTGCAAAGCTTTGATAACTTCATTCAAAAAATGGCAGTTGCCCTTTGGGATGGCAGGTGGACTAGACTCCCTGATGAGGGGATGTTAAGGTTTTAGAGGTGGAAACCCAAGACTCAGAAGTTTCAAGCTGGCATAGGTTGTTTGCCAGCTCAGCAAATTTGGGTGTGATACAAATATCCCCAGTGCAACTAATGTGGTCGTATTTGCCAGGTATTGCATGTTTCTGTGATAATATGTGTGTGCAATGGTGGCCCAAATATTGTAAAATAACAGTGGATCATCTAATCTGGAGAAGCCCCTGGCTTGCTGTCACTTCTAAAGAGCCAGAATTGTCTTAGATAATGGTATGTGCTCTGAGCTATGTTGGGAGCCAGGCCATTGTAAACCCTCACTTTAGGGCTGGGCTTTTGGGAGTGAGTCAAGCTTCTCTCTAGGTTAGCACACACAGCTTAGTGGTAGGCAAACAGTACTCAGCACCGACTTGTCAGTAAGCAATGGGAACTGAGAACATCAGCTCAACCTGCCAGCTAAGGGTGCCGCTCAAATCGATGGTGTAAAGTATCTGGGTGCTCTGAGGTGAGAGCAGCTGCTTACCTGGCAGTGTGAATTTCTTGTGTTCGCAGAGGAAGCCATCCCGGCTGTCTGCAAAACACGGACGGTTATATACGAGATACCTCGGAGTCAGATTGATCCGACCTCTGCCAACTTCCTGATATGGCCACCCTGCGTGGAGGTGAAACGTTGCACTGGCTGTTGCAACACCAGCAGTGTGAAATGCCAGCCATCGCGGATACATCACAGAAGTGTCAAGGTGAGCAAACCGTGGCTGCAGAGCCTGAAGAGGGTCCTCTTAAGTCTAAAAAGTCCAGGTATTCTTGTGGCTGTTCTGTATGACCTGGATCTTTATTATCCATCCTCATAGCCAGAGGATCAGATAGAATGCTCCTCTCCATTTTGAGTGAGCAGATGGCCTTTTCAAGTTACATGATCATTGGAAAATCTTGGGTTTGGATTTGATTTTCACAGGATTCCCTTTAGGTTTTTCTTCTTTTGTAATGAAAACAAAGTTGATTGTGTCTTTCCCATGATCTCGCACAGTACAAATCTTAAAGTTAAGAAGATAAAATGACTCAAGGGGCATTGGATTTAAAAAAATAAATAAATCGCAGTATGGAATGCCATTTTCTTAATTAAATATTATGCAGCCTAAACTGGGCTTTTATATTTGTCAACATAACACTTTTGATCTGAAAAAATGTGTTTCAAATTATCTTACCCCAGGGATAGAAGACTCAACGGCTTCATGCTGTATTTACTCATTAGACAAAATCCCTGTTGCAATTTTCCAGTAAATATTACGTGAAATGTTTCTTATGTTCATTTGGCTTCACTGTGTTCTAATTTTTATCAGTATTTAAACAAGTAATGTTGATTTACATCTGCATGTAGAAGATTAGACTTACACTTAGCATTTATATTGTTAAGACTCCGAGTTCTTGTTACCCTGAGTATTTTAAGAGCAGAATTTAAAAAAAACCCAACACATTCTCGAACATAAAATTGCCCAGCACAACATGATCACTGTACTTGCAATGGATTTCTTATTGAGAAAGGTACTGTTAACCCGTGTAGCACTGTACGTCCTAAACACAAAATACAGCATTTAAGCCAGTTAATTGTGTTTCATACACACAAGCACGCATTTGAGCAGGATTTCTTTCTCTTTTCCGTTTCTGAACATCTGAAAAATGTTTTCACACCCAAATAAGCTGGAGAAACATCTGAAAAGATTTCCTCAGTCTTTCAAAAAATAATTACACTTTACACTTGCTTGCTGCCCTTCTTTTGGGGGATACACTTTGCAGAAACAATTAAAAATGAGGAAAAAATTGGGCTCAATAATCATTTGAGGACTGAGAACAAACTGGGGAAGTTGAAGCACTACAATTCTAAGCCATTCAGAGTAGGACCTAAACAGTAAAGTGCCTCAGGGTTATAATATCTAGTGCTGTTGCCTTTGGGTTTGATACAGCTTCCAGTTAATTTTGTGTAGCAGCTAATACATACAAAGCAGCTGGAGATGCCCAGCAAAGAGTTGAGCCGTGTATTGTGAGCTTGCAGTTGGTACTTGTGTATGACATTGCAAGCCTGTGCTTGTTTCCTACCCCTGCAGTGATGGGGAAGATTAGAGAGAGAGAGAGAGAGAGAGAGAGGTTTGGCTGTCGAAGTCCCCTGCTGCTGGGGACACCGAGCGTTCCCTAGAAGTTGCGAACTCCACTAATGGCAGCAGCTTTGCAGAATGTCATTGCTGGGGCTGCTTCCCCAGCGCACCACCATGTTAAAGAAACCTTAGTTTCTCATTCAGTCTGCTGATACGGTTTTAGTGCTTTTAGATTTGCATTCATTTTAGTAGGGCGCAAGCTAAAAGTAGGCTCAGCTGAGCAGCTGGTTTTTGTGGCTGTGTAAATATATTGCCACCAGCAATATCAATATACGTCAGCCAGCTTTGGAGGACTTTTTTTTTTCCCAAGCTCCAAGGCTGCTCCAAACAGTCACTAAGTAGAAGGGAAAAAAGGACAAGAGGTCAAGCAGGAACAGGATGTTCATTGTAAAGGTTGTAGGCTGACCCCACTGTCACACCAGAAATCTCTGAACAGAATCCATATTTATGCCCTCCAGAGTCAGCTCCTCTTGTAGCTTTGATATAATTGATGGTTTTATGAGCCTTTTGCCAATCCTATGTTCAGAGCTGAATGTCTGCTCATGCCATTAAGTAGCTGGCCCAGAGTGAGGGTCGCTGGAAAGGTAGGGGGAGCGGTTTTGGAGAGCCTTCTCAGCTGTTCCTGCAGTGCGGTTGGAAAGCCGTCTTGTGTTTTCCCCTGATGTCAGGCTGCATAAAAGCCCTCTTTTGATTAAGCACTGAAAAGGCTTTCCCCACTTCCTCTTCATTGACAAGGTAGTGAGATCATAGCTGGCCCATTCACACTAGAAAAATGTTCACCCAGAAAGGTCAGCAAGTGGGTTTGCATCATCCAACAGGCGAGAGCAAAGGGTGTTTTCTTTGTCTTACTGAGGGCCACTGTAGTCAAGGTTAAAAGACAGCCATGGCAGTGTGGGAGGAGCAGCGGAGGTGCTTGTATTGGGGCATTCCTTTCTTGGGAACATGATTCAAAGGCTGTAGGGTTCGGGGTTGTCCTTACTTTGCCTTCACTGCACCTTGGTCAGCGAAGTACCGTTAATGGGCTTGTGGAATTGGAGCTGTAAGGAAGCTCCAAGCCAGGGGTGTTGGTGGCACAGCTTCCCCAAGACGGGTCCTCTAAGGTTTCCCTTTCATGGGGTGGGTTAGTAAAAGGTAGGTTTGCCCTGCACCATAACAGAGTGAGCCCATGAGAGCACAGCCTCCTGGTTCTAAAGACATCTCTATTCAGCAAGCTGTACCTGTACAGCACTGCAAAAATCGGACTGAAATAAAGCGGCTGGTTGGGAGTTGCTCTTTGATAGGAAGGAAAGAATTGCATTTCTTTCCTGATAGAGTAATGGTGACAAGGATTGGTGAGTTAGGGGTGTTGGTGTCTATTACAGATATATTTCCTCCCGTCTGCAAAAGCATTTCAGTAACAGCTGCAGATTCTGTTGCTTCTGCACAGCGAGATCAAGTATTTACCAAGTACCAGACCGTAATTTATTTGGGGGGTTTCTGAACTTTGTCTTCCCAAGAGGTTTCTCGTAATGTTGAGCATGATGTTCTTCGTGTATTTGGTCACGGCAGCAAAAAGCAGTTAATAATATAGGGCAAATCCTGCCTATACTGCTAATTTTGAATAGCCAAGCTGAGTATTACGGTTGTTCGCAGCAATGCTCATTTCCAAACTAAGAAACAAAAGCTAAATCAGTCCATCTACCTCAGCTTTGCCTTCTGCTTGGCCTTGAGCCATAGCCATACCAGCTTTAGCCATTTCTTAATACTCAATGTTGAGCTGATTTGGGGAAATTTAACCTAGTATATTCTTAGTGTAAATTAAAGGGAAAGACACAGAGAAAAGGAGCTGGAAAGGAAGGAATGCAGGAGCAGCTCCTCAGCTGTCATCTGGGAGTTGTTCAGAGGTTTTGAAGGGAGATGGAAAAAAATGCAGAAATTCACGAGTTCTTCAGCAGAGCTACCCAGTCTCTGAAGAGGTTAAAAAGGCCTTGCGGAACAAATTGCGTGTGTGGGTACAGTGGCTGTATGTAACGTTTGCAGGTTTAAGAACATTTTTCTTCAGTGACTGTTTCTGTCATTAGGATAAAGAGCAGTTTGATTTTAGCTGTGGCTTAACTGGAGATTACTGCCAGCACTTGGTGGGACCTGCAGGCAGGACCAGCTGACAGGTATCAAAGGTCAGTTTAAGAATGGGAGAAACAAGGGAAACCCCAATACAGGTAAAGACAAGATGGAAAACCAGAGAGAGGTGCCCTCAAGAGCGTGAGAGGAACCCTGCCATCGCAAGTTGCCTGACAGAGGGCAAGGTGTGGCTGCTCCCGCTTGCAGAGAGAGGACGTAGAGACACCCCATCCGCCATCCCCCCCCCGGGGGAGGGGTTGCGGGTTTGTTGCAGCACCCTCCAGTTCTGCCCCCGGACCCTTCCTCCAGCCGTGCCCTCGCCGCGCCACCGCCAAACCGCCCTCAGAGGCGGCTCTGCCTACTGCCCCCCTATCCCGACGCCTTCCCAGCGTGCCCCGCGGCCGCCTCAGCTTCCCGCGTCGCGGGGACTGCATTTCCCAGCGTGCCCCGCTGCCGTGAGAGGGCTTCCCGCCTCCCCGGGGCCCGGCCCGGCCGCAGCCCCCCGAGCCGGGGCTGTGACAGAGCTTCTCCCTGTCCCGGGCACTGACAGGGCCACCCCCTGTCCCAGGAGCTGTGGCGGGG